TAATGAGTTTAGGTAAGAGGGAGCAGTGCCAGTGGTTGTTCTGTAGGCAAACGTCAGTGCCTTGAATTTAATGCGAGCGGCAACAGGCAACCAGTGCAATTGTGTGAGGAGAGGAGTGACGTGTGCTCTCTTCGGCTCATTGAAGACTACTCTGGCTGCAGCATTCTGGATCAATTGTAGAGGTTTGACAGAGCAAGCTGGAAGACCAGCCAGGAGAGCATTACAATAGTCCAGTCTGGATAAAACAAGTGCTTGGACAAGGAGTTGTGTGGCATGCTCTGTAAGGAAGGGCCTGATCCTCCTAATGTTGTGCAAAGCAAATCTGCAGGACCGGGCAGTTCTAGCAATTTGAATTTGCTAGATCTGAATTTCAACTGATCATCAATTACAACCCCAAGGTTCTTAGCTGACCTGGATGGAGTTATGGATGACGAGCCTAGCTGAATGGAGAAGTTGTGATGAAGTGTTGGGTTGGCCGGGACCACAAGTAGCTCTGTCTTCGCAAGGTTTAGTTGAAGGTGGTGGTCCTTCATCCAGCCAGAGATGTCTGTCAGGCAGGCTGAGATACGAGCAGCTACCGTCGGATCGTCAGGCTGGAATGAGAGGTAGAGTTGCGTGTCATCAGCGTAGCAATGATAGGAAAAGCCATGTTTCTGAATCACAGATCCTAGTGATGTCATGTAGATGGAGAAGAGGAGTGGTCCAAGCACTGAGCCCTGAGGCACCCCAGTAGCTAGATGTTGGGTCTTAGACGCCACACCTCTCCACGACACCCTAAAGGACCTACCTGAGAGGTAAGACTCGAACCATTGGAGTGCAGTTCCCGAGATGCCCTTCATCTTTAGGATTGACAGGAGGATCTGGTGGTTAACTGTGTCAAAAGCAGCAGACAGATCCAGCAGGATGAGGACTGAGGATTTGGAAGCTGCTCTTGCCAGTCTCAGAGGTTCAATTACTGAGAGCAGGGCAGTCTCAGTTGAGTGTCCGCTTTTGAAACCAGACTGATTGTCGTCCAAGAGGTTGTTCTGTGTAAGAAAGGAGGAGATCTGGTTGAAAACAACTCGTTCAAGTGTTTTCGCGACAAATGGAAGAAGAGATACCGGTCTGTAACTTGTTAGATGTGCTGGATTTAGATTGGGTTTCTTAAGCAGTGGGGTTACTCAAACATCAGTTTACTTACTCAAACATCAGTTCTTTATCTGTTCCTGACCCTTGCATTGCAAACAAGCAGAGATCTCCAAACTATGCATGGCACTTCAGGGTGGAGTTATGAGGCTTGACTGACAGTTCGAGGAGCCAATGGAGTTACGAGGTATATCACTCAGAACCTCTTTTAAATGCTTTTTATTGGTTACATATTTGTAAAACTCACATACAGACGTAAAGGATGACCAATAACATTTATCTTATCAAACAAAAATTATGAAATATAGAGTTACAGGGTTTCAGCCCTACATAGCGATAATACATTCTCATTTGTAGCATTTATTTTTAGTTCAGAATTTGATCCTTTTCCATGGCACACCTGACAACCAGTCACAGCACAGTGGTTGGGAAGCCCTGAATTGGACAACTTCGGCAATGAGACAGAAGATGAGATAATCGGGTAAAACTCTTCCCACATGAAGAGCACTGGTACGGCTTCTCTCCAGTATGAACTCTCTCATGAACTTTCAAATGTCCTGACTGAGAGAAACTCTTTCCACAGTGTGGGCACTTGTGTGGTTTCTCTCCAGTATGAATACTCTCATGCTCTTTTAAATTTTTCAGTCGTGTAAAACTCTTTCCACAAAAAGAACAAATGTGAGGCTTTACACCAGCATGAACTTTAAGGTGTATTTTTAAGTCTGATTCCAAAACAAATGTTTTATCACACTGATCACAGCTGAATGATCTCACTCCAGAGTGAAAGAGCAGATGATAGTTGAGAACACTTTTGTAACCAAAACTCTTTCCACACTGAGAGCATGTATAAGGCTTCTCTCCAGTGTGAGATCTCATGTGCACATTAAGGTGTCCTTTCCGAATGAAACTCTTTCCACACTCAGAGCAGTTAAACAGATTTTCTCCAGTGTGAATTCTCATATGCACATTTACGTCCTCTTTGCGGCTGAAACTCTTTCCACACTCAGAACAGGTGAACGGTTTTTCTCCAGTGTGAATTTTCATGTGATCATTTAGGTGTCCTTTATGTCCGAAACTCTTTCCACACTGAGAGCATGTGAATGGTTTTTCTCCGGTGTGAGATCTCATGTGTCGGTTAAGGGCTGATTTATCTATGAAACTCTTTCCACACTCAAAACAGAAGAACGTTTTTTCTCCAGTGTGAATTCTCATGTGTCTGTTAAGTTGTGATTTATATATGTAACTCTTTCCACACTCAGAGCAGGTGAAAGATCCTTCGACTCCAGATTTTCCAGCTTTTTGTGTGAAATTCTCTTCAGTCTTTGAAACGACTGTGTGTCCATCTTCATTTTTGAAATTATGAGGTTTTTGAAAGAGATGTTGTTTGTCTTCATTTTTATATTTCAGTTTTCCCTCTTCATTTGTGAAATTATGCTGTTTGTCTTCATTCACTTCCATCTGGTCTAAAAATCAACATATTAAATAGCACAAATTCAATTTAAGGCGATTTAAATTTAAATGAGAAACAAATAAAGTTAATTCTAAATTTAGCACAAATCTAGTTTACTACTGAGTCTACTAGTATCTAGTTTTAGATGTATTATTGTATCTTCCTGAGAACCAAAAATATAAGATTTATCTTATTGTATTGTCATTATGTTTGGAACATAAGAAACCTATGGAGATATTTTGTGTGTGTGAAAAAAATGTCTGTAGAGGACACCAAGAAAATCAAATGGCATAAGACATGTATAGGCTAAAACATGTTTTTTTTACCAATCAATTTTTAGGTTTCAGGCTATTTTTACCCAACCTTTGTATAAAGATGATAGAAGGCTATTTCAGTAGCCTCAAAACAGCAACGCGCCTACTCTTACCCCTTTTCCACCAAGGCAGAGCTGGTGCTGGTTCGGAGCCAGAGCCTAGTTTCAATTCGGTTCTTTGTTTTTCCACACGCAAAGCACCAGCTCCGAAACAGGAAAAGTGGTTCTTAAGTAGCACCAAATCATTGCTGGTCTAGAACAGAGCCAAGTAAGAACCGCTTGCGCCAGGGGCTGGGGGCAGGGTTACCGTGACCAACAAGACGAATAGAAACTTGTGACCGCCATTTTTAAATAGCAGCTAGTCGAGCTAATAGCAGCTTGATTATAATATCCGTCTATGTAAGTTACGGCGAGCTGCACAAACGCGTTGGATTCCGATGTATTTTTGCAAACCCAAGAGCATCCATAGTAACGCAACGTCCGTTATTGTTGATGGCTTGTTCGAGATGCATCGGAGCGGCGCGGACCGATTGGAGCTGCGGGAGTGTTTGGAGATCATACGACTCCTTGTGCTTTTGGATCGCTTTCGCAGTGCTTTGATGTCATGCGGCGATCGATCTGCGAGAAGCCGATGCATCTCGAACAAGCCTGGCGTGTTTGTATTTGGCGCTACCGCACTAGCGTTGCTGGGCAACATGAGACGTATGCAGTGACGTAAGATCTGGGTCTGTTGTGGCTCTCTAGCCGGTGGAAAGGCAAACCGGTTCTTAGTAAGCTTGTCAGTCGAACCAACTCCGAACCAGCTCTGGCTCTGAACCAGCACCCGGTTTTTGTTGGTGGAAAAGGGGTAAATGGTTTTCAGACCAGCACGCCAATGGGCGCACAAATGTAGGGCCCTGTAATTTCCACTATCACGGAATCATGGACGGAATCGCGGAATTGGCCAATTAACGCTGAATCTAGTGTTGTTAACGTGGAATTTTACATATTTGGAATGAAATTCTGTTTTTGTGTGGGAGAAGAACGTATGTCTGGGGAAAATGCAGACCGGGGGAAGCAAATCTGGGCGACACAACACCCCTCCCCCCACCCGTCATTTCAGCTCCAATGACGGCATCAAAACAATGAAAGTATGGCAAAGCGGCTCTCCACGGCTCTGTTTTTGTCGGCGAAAAAGTGAAGAAACTCGACGCCAAGCCCTCAGTACCGCGCCGAGCAGTTCGCACGTGACTTTTATGAAGTGTTTCCCACACAGACTAATTTGTGGAGGTGCGCCACAGAATCAACACCGGCCGCCACATATTGCGTTTCGTTCATTTTTTTTAACGCTATTTAAAACACGCAGCGTATTCTTTCAGTTGCATTTCCTTTCCCTGCTCTCCCTCCGTCTCTCTGTCAGTCTGTCAGTCTGTCAGTCTGTCTGTCTGTCTGTCTGTCTGTCTGTCTGTCTGTCTGTCTGTCTGTCTGTCTGTCTGTCTGTCTGTCTGTCTCTGTCTCTCTCTCTCTCTCTCACACACACCCCCCATCCCCTCCATACACGTCTGTCTATGATGCGTGTGTCCGAGAGCGTGTGTTTTATTTAAACTTATATAAACTAATATAATTTATTTTACTGGACAGTTTAAAGCTCATAACCATATTTTGTTGTTACTTGAAGTACTTAGAGTGCAGTGTTATGTTGCATCATGCAGTATTTGTGCTGAAAAGTAAGAGTAAATGTCTGTTACCTCAAATTTAAGGTCATTCCTATTTTATTTGCGTACATTTTAATCATTAACATTAAAAGAACACTCTTTTTACTCTAAAATAACAGTAAAGGGTAAAACAAAATGGAAATGGAAAAAACGGAATTTGCAAAAATTAAAACTGAAAAAACGGAATTTGGGAAAAAATAAAATGGAATTTGGGAAAAAATAAAACGGATTTCATAGGGCCCTACGGGCGCAAGTGCAGTTGCTATTTAAACAACGTGGCGCAGGACATGAAAATGATAACTGCGTTGGGCTGAAACTAGCAAAAAAACACTTGCATCGCGCTTGCCAACGTATTGCGCCGGGTGTATGATAGGGCCGTTAATGTCAGTCATTATAGAGAATGAAGGAAAACACCAACCTATTTGTTCCTCTGTGTCTTCATCTTTTATTCTGCAGGGTTCTTCCTTAATCTCCATCTTTACAATAGTATGTCCGTAGTTTCTCCTGGAGTAATTCCTCCTGCTTGCTTCTTCTTCTCCTGTGGGAAGATGGGAATATTCCCCAGCATTTAAACTCTCATGAACGGCTGTGGGAGCTCACTGACTGAAGGAGTGAATTGTGGTCGTTGTTGCTCATTTAGCAGATGATCATCACACTTACAATCACTCGCAATTATTCAGTGTAAATTTTCGCTCAAATAGTCATTTAAAAACTATTCACGATTTAAGTTATAACTTCAAATTGCAACTCACCTGGCTGATTTTTTTGTTGCTCTAGCTCGAGTTATAGTTTGACTTTTGGGAAAGTTTGCTGCAAAAAAGCTCTTTTTTAGTTTCATCTGACATAGAACTTAATTATTGCCATGATGGAGGAAATGGGGATTTTTTTTCTATGGTTTAGCGATTTTTTTACAGCCACTTTCTATTTTATGATGCTCAACAATCTTTTGCTGCACATCAAAACTACATTCGTTGGTTTTACTCATTGTGATAGATGATACAGGGAATTTGGCCTTTGTGTTTCCACTCCCCCAACTAGAGTGTATGGTAACGTTACCCTAAGGAAACACCCCAATGTGTGCGCAAGATATTGTGATTCTTACCTCGGACACATCTCCGCAAATGATTAACAAATACAGTGAATACATTCTAATACAGATAAACAAACACTCAAAAAATGAATCTTAACATTAAACCTGTGGTAATTTTCCCATACGAACCTGACTTGAGTTTAACCCAGTGTCCGACATAGGGCTGGGCGATGTGGCCAAAAAAAATTATCACGATAATTTTTTTATATCAGTCGAATATCAATAATTATCACGATAAATGTCAAATCTTTATTTCTTTCAAGTTTAAAGGCAGATTTTTGCTCCTAAGTGAAAGTTGTAGAAACCAGAGCGTTAATTGTGGTTTTAAACTACTCTTTATTGTCAGAACATATCATGACAAACACTTGCCAAACACGAGAACATTTGCCAAATCATGAGTTAGAACATTCAAACATGTGTCATTTTTCCTTAACAAAATAAATATCTTAGTAATATTCTGACTGTTTGAGTTTTATTAAAATTAACCATTGGTCATCCAGCATCATGCATTTAGATAATGATAACCACAGATAAAAACCGGGCATAGCCAACAGCACCTCACTATCATGGCAATATGTTACTTTATGGTTTCTGTGGTATTTGTATGAAAAACTGTAGCCTAAATACATTATTAAATAATGTTATTATATTCCATTAGTCCTTACATTGTCTACATTAATAATATAATACAATTCAATATGTATCCCACATTTTAAAGTGCAGTTAATATTAGTAGGCTAACATTACAGTAAATCCGTGGTAAATGATGGGAATTTGTAGACGGAAAAGCTTTCTGACTGTATCTGTGTTTCCACTGTTCGTCAGCTCTGTTTCATCTGCCTTTAAACTGGTTTAAATCACTGAGACATTAGTGTTCTTCGCTGAACTCAAGCGCTTCTCACTGGATCTCGAGACCGAGGCCGATCAGAGTAAACGCGTCTGCTCCAGTGAGCTCGCGCTGCGCTGCCGTTTGGACTTTGAGCCAAGCGGATAAACAGTCCGTAAGGCGCGCGCGGTTCAAATGAGTTTCGTTCCGCTTTTGGCACATAAACATTATCGAACATTTATCGAACTCTTGATATCGTTTTATCGAGAAAAATTATATCGCGATAACTGTCGTTAGCGTTTTATCGCCCAGCCCTAGTCCGACACATTCAAAATTATACTCGGGTGACTTCCCCTCTGACAGTGTTGGTTGACGCCTAACTGTGCGTTCCCACTGCTGCCGGCAAGAGCATCAAAGTGGCCGGAAGTCATTCATTTTCAATATGAGAGGCACACATTCAATTTGTGTGGGGGCAAGGGCAGCGCGTCAACCATTCGGATTGTTGAAGTCCTTCGCTTGAGAGGATTCCAGCAAATGCAGTAAACTTTGGTTCAGACCACATTAGTTCCCAAGCAAAATGAAGGAGAGGTAGATCATGTGAATTTGATAAGGCGCGCAACACTATTTATAAGCAACATTTTCACTTGTTTTTCAGCGGGAATGCAAATTATGCCGAGTTCAGACTGCACGATTTTAGCTCGCCGACAGGTTTTGAGAAATCGCCGACAAATGCCCGAAATCACAGGCAAATCGGTGCTCGTTCACGCGAGTGACAATCACGCAGTGTGAATGAGCAAAGACGCGATCTGAGAGAATCACCGTCGAGTCGCTGATGCCCGTGAGATAGTTGGCATGCTAAATATCTGGACCTGTCGGCGATTCACAATCCTGCTGTGTGAATGTGTTCTGACTGAAAACTACATCGGCGATGACCGACAGCCAATGAGAGAGCAAGATACAGAGAGGAGGGGGAGTATGCAGAATATCAGTATTTTAATAGATAGGCCTATATTTACAATTATATCAAACAGAAACAAAGCACAAACATTTGCATGACCAGCAGCAACAGCAGGAAATTTGCAAAATTATTTATTTACCCCCAACTCTCTTTGCAAAACACAGTCCTTGCTCCCCTCGTCTTCCCGAATCCCAACCATTTCCTGCATAAACGGGTTTTTTTTCTTTTCATTTTCGCTACAAATCAGTGCACAGACAATTTGTAGGCTATCATTTTTAATAACAAATTCAGTGTCGCGCGAGAACTCCGGTATCACGCACGCGTGATCTTCCGTTATTTCCTTATCACTTCTCGCGTTTGTTTGGTTGTGAAACGTAGTTTGCGGACCAGGCAGAAGTTGTCGGCGATTCTTTCTTTTGTAAAGTCATGCAGTGTGAAACCTCCTGTCGCCGATCCATCGTGCAGTGTGAACACAGCAGCAACTGAACGTTACCCCAGATAGTCATGCAGTGTGAAAACAACAGTGACCCGATTATTTTGAAAATCGTGCAGTCTGAACTCGGCATTAGACGAGCACTTAACCATGAACACAAAAGCCACACCACACTAATGGCTTTTAATTGGATTATTTAGTTAGCAAAAATTTCTTTCACATTTAAAAGATTTCATGAGGTTAACTTATAGCCTACTTGTGGTCAGTCTGCACAAATAACGATTAACATGCTTGTTTGCTTTGTGGCCCCTTTAAATAAAAATTTTTTACAAAAAAAAGACCAAGCATTCAATCTATGTCAGAGTGTCCACGAATCTCTACGGCGTTGTTGGCAGGGTGGCGAGAACGCATTTTGATGCTCTCGCTGGCGGCGGTGTGAACGCACAGTAAGAGTAGCTATTCTGACCTCATAAAATGCCTAAGAACTAGCCTATAGTTACAGCAATCAAGCCCCACCTAAGAGTTTTACACTGAGTCGAACGACGTCTCGTTCCTTTTTGAACACTATCACTTGGGAATAAGGTCTCTAGTGCACTAGTGTCGAAGGAGCTTGTTTTAGTCAATGACATCCACGCTTGTTTCTTCACAGGAGGCGTAACTTGTTGCAGGAGGTGTAACTTGGAGGGGCTTATTTTGTAGTACTGGAGAACTCAGACAGACCCTTCTCAACAAAAGAGTCGCGAGAGAAGGCGTTAAACTACCTCATGTCTCAAAGCTCATAACATTATGGTAATGATGAAAATAAACAACTTCAAGAGCACTGACCTGTATCACCGATTAGGGCTGTCACTTTTGAGAAAAATCAAATTCGAACGGTTATCAAATATCAAGCAATATATTCGAATATCTACGATATCTAAATTCAAGTCAGGAAACGCTCCGAGTATATCCAAAGTCCCTTAAAGACAAGTCAATTCACTCGGCGGCCATCTTTGAAACGCCTCTCGTTCATGCAAGTGCAGCTCCTCTTTGAATGGGGAAACATCAAATTCTCCAAAACTGTTCGCCAAGCTTGCGATTAAATTTCATATTTGAAACTACCAATGAAATCTGACAACAACTGTCTTATAAATTTTGTCTCTTCACACTTGAATCATGACAGAAAACGCACTGATGATGTGTGATGCGCTGAGATGTGAAAATATATATGTTGAAAGGCAGGTAGGACACTGTATCGGACTGTGTTCAGACAGAATTCAATGATTTATTCACTTCATAATTTAATTTGTGTTAAATCCGTCAGACGCATTAAAAAGCATGCTATTTAAATTTGATCCATCCAACAACCGTGTAAAGTCTTCAGGTATGTAATGGTGTTCAGTAAAGGAGTTAAGTGCTCAAATAAATTCTCGAAATGTTTTTCCTGGGTTTGGGCTATTATTATGTAAATCCAGTTCCTAAATTCCTTAATTCTCTACCCTACTTTTTAAAATTAAACATCTATAACCAATGTGATATATTACACATCTCTGCCTTTCAATTTAAATGTATATCTTTGCATTTTTAACACTTTGTTTGGCAGTTTTACATTGTGAGCTCTTTCTGAGGACCGGTTAAATAAATTACTTGTATGTAGAGTGTAGATTATGTATTTAAAATAATGCTAACCAAATATTTAAATAAAATAAATATAATAAGAGCAATTAATGTCCTTAGTATCCAGATTTACTTTAGGTGTACCTTTTTAAGTATTTTTTAGGGCTGCAACAACAAATCGATTAAACCGATTATTAAAAAAGTTGGCAACGAATTTCATAATCGATTCGTTGCATCGTGCGACTATCAATAAGTCGCGGAGATGTTGTATTAAAAAAAAAGTTGAGTTGAGCGCGGAGCGGAGCAGAGCTATGAGGCGCCGGACTGGACACTGTGCGCGAGAGAGACCCAATGTGTCAGCTTGCAAGCGACAGTGTGCAAGAGAGACCGGGTGTGTCAGCGCGCGAGCCTCGACCTCGCCAATGCATTTGGTTCTGTGCCCCATGAACTCCTGTGGTCTGCCTTCAGATTTTTCCACATACCGGACACCATCACAACCCTGGTGAAGGCGTACTTCCAGAATCTGCAGTTCTGTTTCACCACCTCAGAGTTCACCACCTCATGGCAATGCCTGAATGTAGGTATAATGGCGGGATGTACAATTTCTCCGTTAGCATTTATAATGGGTTGCTGGTGGACAGCGAGTCGACTCTGGCTTCCGTCTCCCTCCACTTAGAGCCTACA